ATCAATCTTCGATTGATTGATCAGTCAATCAGGAGGTTGATCGAACAATCGATCAATCAACCAGCAATCATCTAAGATTGACCGGTTGATTGATTGATTGATTGATTGATTGATTGATTGATTGATTGATTGATTGATTAATTAGGTTGATTGATTATTTGGCAATTGTTTATTTAATCTTGGAAATTTCCCGGAATTAATTATTTAATTAATTTTTTTCCCAAGAAATTATTTCTTTTTCCGAGAAATTATTTCTTTTTCCGAGAAAAAATTTCCCGAGAAATTAATTCTTTTTCCGAGATTTTTTTTTTCCGAGAAATTATTTCTTTTTTCGAGAATTTTTTTTTTCCGAGAAATTATTTCTTTTTCCGAGAAAAAAAATTCCGAGAATTTTTTTTTTTTCCGAGAATTTTTTTTTTTCCCGAGAATTTTTTTTTCCCGAGAAATTATTTCTTTTTCCGAGAATTTTATTTTTTTCCGAGAAATTATTTCTTTTCTCCGAGAAAATTCTTCGAGAGATTCTCATTCGTTTCCGAAAAATTATTTTTCCGCGAAATTTGGTTTCCGAGATTTTTTTTTTGTTTTTTTTTTTTTTGTTTTTGTTTTCGTTCTGAGAATTCTTTTCCCGAAATTTTTTACCTTGTTTAATTGATTAATGTCTGCATTTTGATAATTTCGTGATTCTTTTTTCCGAAACCGTCCCTCTACACTTTCACTGCGTAGGTCTGCAAACTCCGTTCTTTTTTTCAGAAAAAAAAAAACGGCATTTTTTTCTTTTTGCCACCTACTCCTACTCTGAGTTTGTAAAGATACTTCTTTTCCGATTTCCTGCAGTTTGAGCACCGAAGGTTCGCAATTGCTTTCTGCATCACCTTCGGCACTCGGTGGGATTGGACAGTCCTTTTTCGAATTTTGCTTTATTTCTTCTTAATCAAAATTATTATTATTTTTTCTCTTTTTTGATTAGGAAACTGTTCAATTTTGGATCTGTCCGATCCTTCCCACCTGTCTGCCGCCTACCTGTTCCTCCCCCTCCAGTCCGGGTTACTGGGCCAGTCCATCAGATTGGCCCTCGG